CAGGAACCAGAATAGCCCGTGGAATGCTCATCTGTTTTGGAGTGTTTCACTTGCTAGGAACTATCACTATGCATTTTTTTTTTTTTTCCTCTTTGTAAAGATGGTATCATACCATAAAGACTGCTCTGGAAAGTGGGTTTTTTTTTTTTTTTTTTAATATAGAGTAGGGGAAGAGAGGGAGAATAAAACAGTCTCACCAGGTGATAAAAACCTGCAACATCGCAGGTAGATTTCATATGGCTGGGAAGAGACGACAAACGCGGGCCCATGCACACAGGTGCACCCCTCTGCTGGAAGGAAGAGCAGCAGATCTCACTGTGACCTTGCCCCCCTCCCTTCAGTTCCCTGTGGCTTTGCTCTGTGCAGGGAAGTCCTGCATTTCTCCAGTGCCCTGAAGCTTCTGTTGTCACAGGTTCTGTCTCGGTCCAGGAAGAACCAGAAGCTACGAATTCCACCTCTGGAAGGTTCACATTCCCACCAGGGGAGGAGTGAGGAAGCACAGCTGGCCTCGAATAGGTACAGAGCACTTTCCTTGTCCTGTGTACTGATTGGCTTGTCTCTCTACTCACAGTTTATGGATTATAAGCTCATGATTATAAGAAGTGTTTGTCTATTTTGTTGACTGCTTTATCACCCGCACCAGGAACATCCTCTGGCATATGAAGCCCTTGATGTAAATTTGTTGATAATGAACGCCCACCATTTACAAAGCGTCTCCAAAGAGGTTCCCCTACATAAGGTATTACAGGCCTAAAGGTGGGGTCGTAGGGGATTCATCTGACGGGGAGATCTTTTTTAGATAAAGGCTTCCGAGCACAGTTGTTATAAAATACAACATATAAAAATTCCCTTTAAAGTTACATATTCTCAGGGCATGTGGGTGGCTCAGTCTGTTAAGCATCTGCCTTCGGCTCAGATCATGATCCCAGGGTCCCAGAATCGAGTCCCGCATTGGGCTCCCTGCTCAGAGGAGAGCCTGCTTCTCCCTCTGTCCCTCACCCCGCTCATGCTCTCTCTGTCTTACTCTTTTTCTCTCAAATAAATAAATAAAATCTTAAAAAAAAGGAAAAGTCACACAGCCTCATTTTCAGTGCCTGGGCTAAAATCATTACCGCTCTTTGGTCTGTGACGGCTGTGAGCTGTGAGCTGCTGGGACTAGTTAACACTGTGATAGAACACACAGCTCATAGAGCTCCCACTGCTACATAGCAGAGACAATTCCTGGAGTGGAGGTGAAGTCCAATTTTCCCGTGTCGTGTTTCTGTACCCTACAAAACCACACAAATAGGAAAGAAAGGCATTTCGGGATGGGAAACGTGCAGGAAAGAGAATGTAGCAGGCCTCAAGCTGCTGTCTTTATTAAGGCCCATTCATGAGGTTCATCCTTGGCGGGCATCTGGAGCTTGGCCCTTAACCCACTCCCTGACTGATAAAAATAGTTCGCTCTGCCAAGACTGCACCTGCTTTCCTTCTTTGAGTTTGGGATTATGATCGTTGCTGGGCGGAGGGGACCTACGTGACCAGACACTATTAAAAACCTTGGGTGCTAAGTCTCTCCCCCGGGGAGAAAGAGTGTACACACTTTAGTGAATTTTTCACTCCTGGAGAGAGGAACACACTCGTGCATCTCCTGACTGGTGGGAGGGAGCATCCGAAGCCTCCAGATGCTGCCAGTGGCTTTTTCTCTAGTTGAACTTATCATGTATCCTTTCACTGTAATAAACCTTACCCATGGGTACGACTCTGTGCTGAGTCCCCTAAATTCTTCTAGTGATCCCTGAATGTGCGTGTGGTCTTGGGGATCCCCAAAACACACATGCTAGCCAGCATCGTGGTTCCTTTGGTGTGTCTAGTGACAGGTAGTTTGACTTAAGGCCTTGAACGTGTGCAGAGGATGCAGAAACACAGGGAGGGTGCTGGAATGTGCCTCTCTCTGAGCTGGAGCTTTGGTCCCAGTCTCGGGTGGGTTTTCTTCCTGGTGGTCCGGCCTGATCCATGTGGAGGACTCATTCGCCGACACATAGAGCCTATAACACTGTGGCATCCTTTGCTGCCACCCCCAAGTGAATGGAAGGGGAAAAGCAAACATTTGCCACACTGCCTAGACAGCAGATCAGAGCGGCCCAAGCCCCCACCTTGGGCTTTCTCAGGGTGAGTGGCCCACAGGCCGTCCTTGTTCTCCAGCTTCATGGACCCCAGAGACAAGTGGGCTTGATTTAACTCTTCCATTCCATCAAAGCTCTCTGTCAGCACTCTGGCTCAAAAATGCCCAAGCTTTTGACCTTCCTAGAAAGGAATCATCTAGAAAGGAATGTAGGGAGCCAATCTTTCCCTCTCTTACCTCTGCTTTTTTTTTGTATGTGGTATGGCGGGGGGTTGGGGCGGGGGATGGTGTGCAGGGCTGCCAGTGAGGAGGACCCTTATGTTCTCTCTACAGACCCATATTCTCTCATATTTTTTCCTGCCAGTTAACTTGGTGTGCATAATAACCAATATCAAGGTCACCTTGAGTGCTGTTGTCCCCTAAGGAGAGATCATCTTCCCCAACCTCTGCTGTTTGTCTGAAGCATCTGTCAAGGGTGTGAAAAGATAAACTGAGGTGTATTAGTTTTTTTTTTAAAGGTTTTATTTATTTGACACAGAGAGTGAGCACAAGCAGGGAGAAGGGCAGAGGGAGAAGGAGAAGCAGACTCACTGCTGAACAGGGAGCCCGACACGGGACTCGATTCCAGCACCCTGGGATCATGACCTGAACTGAAGGCAGACGCTCAACCGACTGAGCCACCCAAGTTTCCCTGTATTAAATTTTTTTAAAGAGTTTACTTGAGGGGTGCCTGGGTGGCACAGTCGGCTGAGCATCTGACTCCTAGTTTTGGCTCAGGTTGTGATCTCAAGGTCATGAGATCGAGCCCTGCTTCAGGCTCTGCGCTCAGCACAGAGTCTACTTGAGATTCTCTCGCTCCCTCTTCCTCTCCCTTTACCCCTCCTGCTCATGCTTGCTTGCTCGTCCTCTGGCTCTCTCTCTCAAATAAATAAATAACATGGGCGCCTGGGTGGCTCGGTTAAGCGACTGCCTTCGGCTCAGGTCATGATCCCGGAGTCCTGGGATCGAGTCCCACATTGGGCTCCCGGCTCGGCGGACAGCCTGCTTCTCCCTCTGACCCTATCCCCTCTCATGCTGTTTCTCTCTCTCTCTCAAATAAATAAATAAATAAAATCTAAAAAAAAATAAATAACATTACATTAAAAAAAAGAGTTTATTTGAGCAAAAATTGATTTGAATCATATAGCATCCAACCTAGCCAGGTAGAAAGGAGCTCCAAGTTGCTGTATAAGATGAAAGACCTTTATAGGTAGGAAGGAATAGGAACAAGGAAGTTACATTAGACAAAATAGATTATTTCAAGATTACGTTCCTTTAGGGGATGGCAGGGGTCTGTCAGGCATATTGCCTAACTAGTGCTGTTCTGGAAATTCCTGAATGACTGGTTTGAGATTCCATTTCTGGGAGTGCTGAAACTGTAAGTAAATCTCATTTTAGTGATGTGGGGCTTAGCATAAGGACTCCATTTTGGGTCTGTGTCTTGCTTATAACAGGGGTTACCTGAGGATATTATTACTAGCCCTTAGATCTTGCCCCTAGAAATTTCTGAACTGTATAAAGACAGGATAATTAAATTGTATCTGAAGGCCACAATAGAAACCACCACTTTGATCTCCTGTTTTATTTACTGTTCAAATTAATGATATGTCTTATCGAACAGCATAATCCAAGTGGTAGAGAGCCAGCCATAGAAAATTCTACACATTTCTAAGTACTGTTTTAGCTACATCCTACAAATTTGGATATATGCTATTTTTGTTATTGGTTGGTTCTAAATGTTTTATAATTTTTATGACAATTTCTTCTGTGACCCAAAAGTTACTTCAAGGAATTTTTATTTCTGAACATTTCAAGTTTTCTAATCATCTTTTTTTATATTGAATTTAAATGTAATTGCATTATGATTAGAGAAAATGATCTATATCTTCCAGTCCTTTGAAAAGTTGTTAAAACTTGCTTTATGGCTTATGGTCCTTTTTTGTAAATGGTCTGTGAGATTTTTAAAAGATTGTGAAATCTCTAGTTGTTTGGTGCAGATTCTCTGTATGTCCTTTAGATAAAACACGTAAGTAGTGTTTAAATCTTAATATAGTTTATCTTTGGTTTTCTTGAGATATCAGTTACTAAGAGTTACTAGTACCAAGAGATATCAGTTACTAAAATTCTCTCAGTATGGTATTGGATTCATGTATTTCTCCTTATAGTTCAGTATTACTTAGAATTATCTTAATTACCTATTGATTTGAATTTTTTATCATTATGTAGTCACCTTCTTTGTTTCCAGTAATGCTTTTTGCTTGAGTTCTGTTTTGTCTAACATTAACATTTATTTATTCCAGCTTGCTTTGGTTAGTGTTCCATCCATATTTCTCCCATCTTTTTACTTTCGACTTTTCTGCATCCTTATGAGTCTTGAATAACTTATATAACTGGATTTTAAAAAAGCCTTCTGATGACACCAAAAGCAGGAACAATAACATTTTTATTTTTATTTTCTACATTTTTTTAATAAAATTTTTTTAAATGGTAAGATGGAGTTGATCGAAATTTAAAATTTTGATCTTTAAAAGAGACCACTAAAAACATGAAAAGACAAACCACAGACTTGGGGGAAAATGTTTGTAAAACATATATCTGATAAAAAACTTATACCCAGGATATATAAAGAATTCCTACAACTGAATAAGAAGACAACCTAATTACAATGTTTCTCAAAAATAGGCAAGAATTCATCATTTGGAAAATGCAAACTGAAACGAGATACCATTACATACTCATTAGACAGGCTAAAATAAAAGAGACTGACAATTCCAAGGGTTGGTAAGGATATGGAGAAACTGGGACCCTCATATATTACTGGTAGAAATGTAATGTGATAGAGCTACTTTGGAGAAGTTTTTTGGTTTTTATTTATTTTTAAGATTTTATTTATTTATATGACAGAGACAGAGAACACAAGTAGGCAGAGTGGCAGGCAGAGGGAGAGGGAGAAGCAGGCTCCCCACTGAGCAGAGAGCCCGATGCGGGACTTGATCCCAGAACTCCGGGATCATGACCTGAGCCAAAGGCAGACACTTGATGGACTGAGCCACCCACGCGCCCCTGGAGTTTTTTTTATAAAGTTAAACATGTACTAACTAAATGACCCAGCATTCCAACTCCTAGGTACCTAAGAGAAATAGAAAGATATGTTCACACCAAGACATGCATGTGGATGATCATAGAAGCATAATTTGTAGTAGACCCAAACTGGAAACAGTCCACTGTCCATCGACTACTGAATGGGTAAATAAATGTATATTCATACAATGGAACAGTACTCAGCAATGAAAGGGAATAAAGTACTGATATATATGTGGGATAAAAAAAAACAAAACATTATGCTAAGTGAAAGATGCCAGACATGTAAGACTACATATTGTGTGATTCCATTTTTTTAAAAATATTTTATTTATTTATTTGAGAGAGGGCACAGAGGGAA